TTCCATTTTCTTCACTGTCCACGAGGCAGAAACTCTTTTCTCCGGAGTTGTAGCTGAGACCAGGAGAGTGGTCTAGTTGACGATGGGTATTTCTACTGTTGGTACTTAGAGGCTAGTACTGGTGTTTGGCTGGGAGGGTATAAAGAGGAGGAGGCTTGCTTTTGCTTTAGTGGGGGAGTACTGGGGTCCCTTAGCCTTGCCTGCTTTCGGAACAGAAGTTGTGTCTCTTGGAGAAAGCAGAACCGTTGGTCAGTGTGTCTGCCAGCACATACCTCTGTCCGACTTCTCTGCTATAAATAAGCGCGGCCCCATTTGCTGGCTTACTGACTCCTGGTGTTGTCTGAAATAGATCAGGAATTGTGTTGGAGTGGGCTCCTTTACTGCTAATAATGCAGTAGTTTGAGTTTGCAGAACTAGGGGCAAGTTCCTACCTGACCTTCTGCGCTGCCCAGATGCCGTCCCTCCTCACCCACCCACCCTAGATTTAACCCACATGCTGTGGGAAAGGTTGGGAGTCAATCCTCTTGGCTGATTGGATAGTTGAGTTTGTTGAGCAGTTTTAGGGAGCTTTTCCCCCTTCCTTGGCGGTGCTAGGGATTAAACCCAGGTTCTCGGGTGTACTGGGCAAGTGCCCTAAGCTAGCCACGTTGCTAGTCCTTGTCCTCCTTTGAAGTAAGAGGGGTGAGGTGAGAAATAATGGGCTTGTCTACTTTTGTGTTTGATTTTGAGGCAGGGTCTCTGTGTGGCCTGGAACTCCCTACTTAATGTAGACCAGGCTGGCCTTGAACTGGGAGATCCACCTGCCTTTGTTTGGCAAAACTTCTGGGGAGACAACACACACATCTGCTCACCCTAGATAAGAGCCCATGACAGACAAAGTGTAGATACCAGTGAAGTCCAACATGAGCCGTGAGTTTTACTGGGGTTACTTGCAGGAATATGGATGCGACAGCCCACAAAACTGGGAACCTGGAGCACACTGTGTAGACCTCAGGCAGCGCAACAGGTTGGAGTGTCCTTTCTAGGTGCCTCAGTTGTCTGAAGATTTTCCAGACCACTTGGCTGGTTTCTGTTTCTGTAAGACAGGGTTTCTCTGTGTAGCTTTGGAGCCTGTCCTGGATCTTGCTCTGTAGAGTGGACTGGCCTTGAACTCACAGATCTGCCTACCTCTGCGCCGCCGTCACCACCACCACCTGGCTAGGGTGGAATGTTTTAATTTGGGAGGAAATTTACACAACACTGCCAGGAATAAGAACGCAGCATCCAGCTGCCCACTTTGACTGTTTTGTGACTGGAGCGGGGAATCTTCATGTAACCCAGGCTGACCTTGAACTTGTTACCTTCCTGTGCTGAGGTTTACCTTTGGTCCTTCCAGTGCCTCTGTGGTGCCTGGTGGGCTTGGTTGAGCAGCTCCCCAACCTACTAGAAGGAAAGGGCCCTAGGATTCTGTAGAATTCTGATTAAACCTTTGAAAGGTCTAAGCACCTCAAGGCAGCAGGGGCCTATCTACTGTCTGTGCCTTCAGATAAAGGTGTGACAGTTTACCCCGCCACGGTAATGCTGAGAACACTTAGTTAATCGTGTGTGTGTGTGTGTGTGTGTGTGTGTGTGTGTGTGTGTGTGTGGTGAATTTTTTGTACAAAAGTAGGCATAGCGTGGTGGCATACTCTCTAAATCCCAGAGCTCAATCGGTGGCAGGAGGCTCTCTGAGTTCCATGGTCTATATGTGGGTTCCAGGACAGCCAGGGCTGGATAGAGAGACTCTGCCTCAAAAATAAACAGAAAATATAAAAAACTGGGGGGAGTCTCTGAGTTTCTATTTACTAACTAACCAGCCACTTGACTTGGACAGGTACTGAACATGACTTGGCTCCTCACCCGAGTCAAGGTTGGTGGGCAGCAAAGTCCTTTGAACAGGAACTTAGTCCATGGTGAGGACCTTGGTGCCTGCCCTAAGGCGGTTTTGATGCCTTTTTATTTATTTTTTTTTTATTAGGTATTAATAGTCCAATGATTTTTTTTTGAATGGTCAGTCATCTTAGTTGATTAGCATTGTTAATTAAAATGTGTTCCTCTTCTACAGCTGAGCGAGCCTTGGACACCATGAATTTTGATGTGATTAAAGGAAAACCA